TCGGGGACCAGAGAGGCTAGAAAGTTGAAATTTTAAGGGGACGTTTTCTGACAGTCGTGGCGGCCAGTCTCAGTTTTTTTAGATAGAAGTATCTGCCGGAAAAAAACAGTGCCATTAGCGACATAAACCTGTGGGAAACTGTTCAAAAAACGCATCTTTGTCGGCAGTCGCTACGCTGGCAAGTTATTTCAGAATGCGAAAATTGCTGTATGATATTCCAATTCCGAGTAATCCTTGTGCACTGCTTAGAGCCATTCTAGCTGCAGTATAAAGCGAGTGCGGTTTAATTCATGTAGTGTAGCCAACGCCGTGTAAAACAGCTGAAGCTCAGATTGTGTTCGAGTCGGTTCTCAAACTCCTCTTCCAGTGAAAACAAAATGATTAACAGTAGCCCCTAAATGAAACTTCTGTCACTGTGTTTTCTTGAATGCTCTTCAAAGACAGCTCCTATCTCGCCCACATGGTCCTCATGTACGAGCTCTCGAAAGTTCTTTGCGGGTGAGTTGCTAACTCGAGAACTGAAAAACTAGAAAGCTGGAGTTTTAAAAGGGTGTCCCCCTACCATGTAATATTTAATGACTTCAGACCCTGCCCCTAGGTATGCGTAGTTCTCACATACAAATTTGAGGAATTTCTTCGCGGGTAAATTGCTAGCTCGGGAACCAGGAGAGCTAGAAAGCTGAAATTTCAAGGGGATGTTTTCTGACAGCCTTGACGGCCAGTCTCAATTCTTTTAGCTAGAAGCAGCTGTCTGACGAAACAGTGTCATCAGTGACAAAAACCTGCGAAAAAAGGCAAAAACTACAACTCGGCTCGGCTGGTGGTCGTTGGTGCTTGGGAAGCCCTCTGTCATCTCTGGCAACAGTGTTTCGTGGCGTAGCTCACTGGGGTCGTTTGGCAGCCTGCCAGAAAAGCAGGGCAACGTTATCTAGGTCGCAGCGGCTGTATGGCCTGGCTGGTGGTAGAGGGGCAGCCGCGGCTGTGGCAGTGCGTGGAGGGGTGAGCGGTGGTTAGTGAGTGTTGAAATGTTTTCTTCTCCCGCTCTCTTCCTAAGCATCAAATTTTCCCGATTCCCCTCCCCCTGGTGGTGAGGACTGAGTAGTGGGCGACCAAACTCGCCCCCGCCACTCAGTCCGCCTGAGCTGCACACTCCCTCCCCTTGGTAGTGAGGACTGAGGACAATGAGCGAACAACTCGCTCCCGCCACTCAGCCCGAGTGGACCGGAGAGGCTGAGTTTTGTGCCCAAAAACTGGGCTTATATACG